CTGGTTCGAGTTTCATGAATGAAGAAATTTCTCCTATTTCCCGGGTGAATGCAACAAGTGGCGATGCGCGAGGTCTTTTATCTCCTCTGCTCCATCGCGGTGGCCCAGTTTCCTTCTCCGAGCATAAATCTAACGCTGGCTGTGCTGTGCATCTGCCGGATCGTGAGAGACAAACTCCTCCTAATGAATTTCTTCCTTCCAGGAATCACTCTCTTCCCTCCCCCCTCCCTTAACTCGGCACGTTTTACACGGATGACGAACACTGCTAACAATCCGATCTTATCATGCTAATATCGCCAACGTTTCGAGACCTCGTGTTTCTTCGTGAACTACGATTTCACGTGGAAGGCGATACTTGTATCGCCAGGAAATGGCTCAATCGGGGCATACTAATGGGCGAGCGCAAAGATTTTTATGGCATCCCGCTTGGTCACCGTAATCGACATGGTTCTGTGGAACCGTTAGGCGGTCTTCTTGACGAATTTACTATTAATTGTTGGCAACACAGCGTAACTAAAATTGTTGTTTAGTACAGAAATTTATACCACTGAGTCGTCCGAACAGTTTTAACCCTTGACTAAACTCCGTTTCATGTAAGAATAACATTTCGACCGTTCTGCGCAGCCCCCACTACTGCCGACCGATTCGGACGCATGCGATTGCTTGTAGTTCGCTATCTCTGCCGATCTTTGACCAATGAACGGTCTTAGATCCGTCCCATGCGCGAAACGAGGTTATTCTTACGTGAAACGGAGTTTAGACGTGTGAATTTTTCGTGCACGATTGGTCACGGGTCGTCTGTGAGACTGGTATTTTAAGCAACGAGTAGAAAAACGAAATTCTGACAACATTTCTTAAAAGTCGACAAAAATTGAACTTTGAATATTTATTCTCGATATATGGAGAACGTAGCACACGCAAGTTTTTAAAAGAAAATATAACAGAAGAGGTTTGAAGGCGTACTTGTTTTGGAATTATCAGAAAAGGAGTATTAAAATAACTCGTAACAAAAGCTGGGTTGCAGCCCCAGAATGTAATTTCCTACTAACGAGACAATTCATTCAAAAAGAAACTTCCAACAAATTCGATAAATCGAAGGTAACAGATTCAGAAAACACGAAAAGTTTTCGCCATTGGCGAAGGCGCTGTGTTTCATCATGACAATATTAAACTGCAGAAGTTCGTGCAATTACAAAAAACAACTTGGTGAAGTGAATGGGGGAATTATAAGGAAATTATACAGATTCAAAGGCTACCAAAACGAATGTAAATTACAAAAATCAATGACCACTACTTAATTCAATAATAATAAATCATTTTTAATAAACTATATACCTGTTCGTTTATAGTAAAACCCACCAAAACTTTTTTATTCATCTAATACTACTTCCTGTTTCCATAAAATTATGTCAGAACATGGGTTTAACCTCAATTCGGCCAATGCTAAGTTACTTCAGACTAGTTATAAACAATGAAATTAGAAATTATTATTTATAGTTCACAACATAGTTGTGAATTTTATGCACGTATAAGTTCCTGGTCTAAGTGTATTTCCAAAATTTCAACAGATTTCCTAGTTTTCTGATCAGTTTTAAATTTTCAGATCATTGTTCAATTTACATCACATCTACAAGATTTCAAATGATTTTCGAGTTTTCAGTCAACTTTCAGGGTCCCAAAATATTTTCAATTTTCGAACTCATTTTAGAGACTTCAGTGGAATTTCGTGTTATCGGATCATTTTCAGGACACTTTTGAAGTAGGTATCAGGTAAATTTTTTACTTTTCTACGTATTTTTGAGTTTTGTTCTCATTTTCGAGTTTTCAGCTCATATTCCAGTGTGCAGCTGATTCTAGTGGTACCAGTACATTTTCGAGATTTCAGCACATTTTCGAGTTTCCATGGGCAATTTATGCACTTATAAGTGAATCGTAGGATTCGATTCGTTTCAATTATTTCGAAATAAAAAAATTATTCTTTCTACTGAGACCATATGCTATCGAGAGTTCGAAGGGGAAGAATTTATTGGCGCTTTACGTACCTTCAAAATCTTTGGACCGGTGACAAAGTCGCGTTACATAAATGTGGGCTTCGATACGACATTCCATCGACAGGAGATACATGCTTCAAGTGGTATAAATCGCGAAGCAGTATATTTCTGCTGACAAATCTATGCATGTGCTCCACATACACGAGAATACGTGTATACGTCAGTGAACACGCGGTTCTAGAAGCCACAGGCGCTATTATTTCGTCATAGTAAGCTTAGCACACACTGTGCCATCTCGTACATGTCATCGAGTGATTTCAAAGAAATCATTTGAGGGTATAGTGGTTGATTGTGGTATATCGTAATGATGGTTCCTAGTGTATAGGATCTGCATAAACCAAAATTGAATGAACGCAATGAATAGAATTTCTTCATGTAATAGCATAATTTCATTGTTTGCTTGGAAATAAAGAAAGCAGAATATTAATTTTATTACTTTGTCATAAGCAATGTACTGTCTCGAGTGTCGAAAGAAATGTTGGAATTTCAATGGAATATTTAGATCATCGACATATCGTTTATGTTGCAGATATTTAGAAGTTACATGTTTGCAAGCGTATTATCTAATGAGGCTGATTATAGCATGACGTACCATTTCTTGTAATGAGATATCAAAACAGTTCATGAAACCGGAAAAGGAAACTGTTTTTGTGAAAAAAAGAGTGAAATGTTTAATACATAATTTTGATAAATGTTTCAACTGACTTCTTATTGGAAAAATCTAAATTCAAGTTTCATCGTAATACAGTAATAAATGCAGTTCCTATGAAAACGAATTAGTATAAAATATTATATTCTATGTCTTGGGAGAAAATCGCTGATCCATTGTATAATTTAAGTAAAAGTCACAAAAGTTACTCACTAACCTATACCACTCAGGATGAAGACACTTTATTCAAATTTATTTGATAATAATTAGTGTATGAACCATCGTACTTATCTGCGAATGCATACAACAATAACGATTCAAATGGTTTTTACAGATTCTAGCTATACTACATACAATCTAAACATCAAAAACCATTGCACCACAGTGAGCACAGGACGAATGTATTGGTGGTCGAAGGATCTCCACCAGTCCGCGCAACGGCCCCAAGAACCAGTTTAGAATGAGGTATAAAAAGAGAAAAGAATGAAACAGGGAGCAGTCAGTCAAAATCGGCCGTAGGAAACTGAGCCTTGAAAAGGATACGTAAAAATTTCACGAACAAAGATCCGTCTAAAAATATCAACGAAAAGTAGTATGAAACCTGCTAAATATATTACAGGCATGGTTGTTCAATCTGCTAAAATATTATATACTCGTCGATCATATGAATTGCCAATACTAATCTATTACTCGTATTACATAACGTGCTAATTTCAAAAGTAACAGTATTAGCATATCAGCTGTTTGCTAAAGTGATTAACGCCAACGAAAATTATCAAGCAACTTTATTTTAAATCTATAAAAAGTTAAGCACCAACGTTTTGACATTAAAAGTAAAAAAAAAATTCAACAAGTGGAGTTAGTCACTTTGGCCTGCGAATAGCTCATATAGAAAATTAATTTATGTAAGGTATTATTCTAAGAATTCACGATATTGATACACCTAAATTGGAACGCTGGATTTAAATTTTCACGATGCACGCATGATAAGACCGATCGACTTCCATCAAGCAGATCAATGTTTGTCAGCGGGTCTAACGTCGACCACGGAAACGGCGATACCCTGAAACCTATAGCCATATGGTTCGTCGCAATCAATAAGATCGATTTACAACATGTCCGTTGTAGTTCTAAGATGATCTATTCATGCGTGCAAAGCGATTCGATCCTAACTATCAACCTCCAAAGAAAGTTATATCTAATCGTGCTCGCCGAGATAAAGACACTAAAAATTTATTGATGTACATGCACTGTGGAGCACAACTTCAGCACCATTGACATTTTTATTAATCTGGAATCTTTAAAAAATAATTCCATAAAGCCAATTCTACCATTTGAAAGAGCATTACAAATAATGAATTTCATCTGAAATTCACTGAATTTTTGTGCATACAGTGATCCCTCGATGAATACGACACGAGCAACAGCGTCATTCCTATCACTGGGGGAGTCCCCCTGTGGATCTAATCGAAACAGAGGAAACTGAAGCTAAGCAGACGTTAGGGCTTCGGGAAAAAAAACAAATTTATGAGGGGCTGAAAACCTTTTCGCCTTGCCATGAATGCTTCGAAGTGGACCCGAGTATGTCGCACTCATCGAGACATTACTGTACATATCCAGATGAAATGAAATTTTTGTTATATAATATAAAGTATAAATTAAGTTTTTTCATTGAATACAATTTCTTATTATGCTCTTTCACGTAGTATTATTAATAATTAGAAAATCATTACCTAAAACACTAGAACTCTTGAAAATTGTAGTGGTGCTAAAATTATGCTCCGTAGTGTTATATCATTCTACCTTTTAGGATTTCATACTTTTATTTCATAATGTTCGTGAATTCATAAACATTCTATCTGTGGTTAAGAAGACCTAAATATACTATTTGTATTATAGTTAAGACCAAATCAAACTACAGTAGTGCTACAAAACCTGCTCGCTTCCAGTTCGATGTCGCGAACACATTTAGATGCACTATACACGTTTCTCAAATCAAAATTATCAATTGCTGGTCTGGATGAGAAAAAGAACTAGTTTGTCTACTTTTTTATCTGTGTATACACCGAGTCACGAGCTTGTACATGTGCTAGCGTCAGATACCTACTATCTAAGTATAAAAATTGTACGTTGCAGTATCTTTGTTTTTCTCGAGATATAGGTGTTCAAAGATACGAACGTTTATGCTAAACAATTTCTCCAGTCGCGACTGTATCATGTTTCACATTAAGTTGATATACCTCGCCAGATAATATAGTACTATAGATACTGATAGAAATTAGACGAAGAAATGTACTCACCTTCGGGTCTCAGTCTGTCGGCAATAAGGCAGTAGGGGGGTGGCGGCGACTCTGCAACATGAAACGAATAAATTCGGCTTAACCCTTTATTAAAATCTAAAGTTTATTTATAGTTTTATTTTATAGGCGGCTATGATAACAATTTACTTAACCCTCATCCGTCCCTCATTTCCCAACTTAATTCGTCCCTCGGTGTAAAATTGATCCAGTGGTAAAAATTAATGTAACGAAGCGATAAATAGTTAAATTTGCAAATTCTTTCGAGTAAAAATCACGAAGCCTTTGCTAAATTTACCTGCACACAACAGAATAATGTAATTTCTTAGGAGAAAACTGTGTCAAATTGACACAAGGGACGGATGAGGGTTAAACAGAAAATACCAGCACAGTCTGAGAAATTAATTTTTATAATAGGTAATCGTCTTTTGACTTTGATACGTTCCATTTTCCGATATAAACGGAATTTATACATCGTACGGAAAATAATAGCTTTTTTGTACATGATTCTTAAAAAAGCTGAAAAACTTCAAACATCCTATCTTTATTCGTGATGCATTTGTCAGATCCAATAATTTCATATTCTTTGGTCCCTGTGGGTCCAGTTTGACCCAAGATTTCAGAAACTTCGGAAATTAGTCAACTAGCCCCAATCGCCACTATATTTGGAAAAATTTTGTTCTCAAAAATTTGAGGACAGAAGAGTAGAGAAGGTGATCTAAATATGGACTAGCACTTTCACTTCAGAACTTACTACCAAACCTGTTGAAGATTTTTACGATGTAACAGTTTAATGTATCTAAAACATGTTTGCTTTATGATGTGAAGTTAAAATAAACTTCTTTTTCTCGAGAGTCGTAGTTTTATATTACTCCCGCTAGAGTAAAGCACCTAACCTGACCCTAGACTTTCAACTGGCCCATACCCTAGCCTGTATTTACACCACATCCTCTAAGGATCCATCAGGACTCAGGAACCGCCGTGTTTTATTTCACACTTTTTTTATTTATTAGATCAAGTTATTATTTTCCTGGTCATCATCAGATCCCCAAGATTTCGGGTACGGAAGCGGCAATATAAACCTAAACGTTTGAGTCCAAACTCGAGGTACAACAACCGTGGCTGAGATCCCTTCAGAAATTGTGAAGAAAATTGAAGAACTTGAAAACTATTGAACCGAGTCTGACCAAATATAGCTATTAATCTTTCCGGAAATATACACTTTAAAACAAAAAAAATCGCATCAAAATCGGACCATTCGTTGATGAGCTACGGAGCCACAGACAAACCGACACACACACAAACATAGGCGTCAAACTTATAACATCCCTCCTTTTGGCGTCGGGAGTTAAAAACGTCTACCTTCCGATGATCAAATGCCACTACAGTATTCCCTCTATAATAGTTGTATCGACTATACGATGAGTTTGCTGGTGACTTGCTTCACCAAGCCACACCCATCATCCAGACCTCCAAGCTATTCAAATGATATAATGAAGATTGCAATGCAACCACACGAAGGAAGACAAACTACCAATTTCCGGTGCGCTTAAAATTAACTTAAAAAAAAGACATTACTCATGATACGTCCAGATCGTGTCCAAACCCACCATTCATACTCGACCATCCGTTCCGAACATCAAAATTAGTCGGCTAAGACTAGTCTTACACCGTTTCACACTTAGCACGACCATTTGTATCCCGTTCGGTCCAAACGGGCATGTACCGAACTGGGCAAACCACGGGCGACAGTAAAGCGCAACATTAAAACGAAACGCGTACATTCATTAACGGCGCCAGCCGCTCGAGGGTCGCGATAAATCTATTTTAACGGGTAATACTGGGCGTTCGGTTCGCGCGTTCCGATTCCGATTCGGTCCAAAACGGAACGCGGCCGAACCGTTGCGAGAAATCCGACTCAAGGCTCTGTTTCCGATTAAGCGGAATTAAATGGGAATCGAGGCGGACAACGAAACATAGCTGGCCACGAGAACGGTCCTCCGTTAGGAGTAGAGAGCCCTACTCCAAAAGCGGCGACGGAGATTCTATTATTGGCGCGCCCAGCAAGAACCGGTATGTCGTTTTACGTCCTTTTACGTGTCGCCCTGAAAGCATAGAGGACAAATTGTGGCGTGAATATCGCGAACGTCAAGGTAACCCGATGCGGCGCTTAGGAACACGAGATGCCCCGCCACCGTCACGGTCCGTCTGCCGGCGTTCGCCGAGGAATATGTAGTCTGTAATAGGATTAGATCGCGGTTACAATTCGGCAATCCTGAGGAACGTATCGAAACTAGAGATGGCGTGCAAAATCACTAACAGTGATTTATCACAGTGATCGCCGAATCACGATCACGGTCGTGATTTAACTTCGTTCACGACCGTGATTACGATATTTTTATCTTGAATGAATTTGCTCACTGCGATCGTAAGTCCTTGATGTTTAAACAGAAAAAAAAGGTGTTCCATATGATTTTACGATGAATTACATTATTATTTGTGTTCTGAAAAATCAGTAGAAAAAACAAGAAATTCTGAAAGAATGATTTGCTAGGTAACCTGTAGATTATCATTTATAATCATTAATTTATTCATTATTCTTCCTTGTTTCTAATTATTCCTTCATAGAACATTTATTATACAAGAATATGATAGATTCAAATGTTCAGTTTCGAAATAATTCACTGTTGCCACTGTAGGTCGCTGTAAATGCGTTTTCCATTTTTGAAAGCATTCCTTTCATCGATTTTGGAAATCGAAGGCCTACCCGATCTTTCATCACCTGCCTTCGTTAAAGCACCTAAACTATTCAACACGCGCAATTTGAATGAGAGTACCTTCTCAAAAGGACGTCGAAGTATTTCTGTCGCGTTGTCATCAAGTTTAGAACAAAATTTTATACAGATGCGTCGGCCTTAGAGTAGTTTTATTTCGAAAATGGCGTAGACAAAGATGATCGAACTTTAAAAATCATTTAACAGTCTCGAGAGAAAATTACACCGATAGTCAATACGATAAATACACCAGATAATGTCTTTTAGTTATTATTTTTCCTTTCCACTTACTAACTATGTATAACATTATAATGGTAGTTTAAATACTTTTATCAAATCTTCTTTGTTACTTTTAATTTCAATAATTCAATCCTTCAATACAGTATAAAGTAGATCAAAGAAGTAAAATCTTGGATTACATTTCTAAAAAAGATCGGTCGTCTACCCTAAGAATTAATACAGTAGTGCCTCGAAAACCTCTCGCCTTTCATATTCCTCCTGATTCTATTTGCAGTGGACATTGCGCGACTGATGATCTATCGAACCGCTGCTCTCAGTATTTCAAACATATTGTCCAATAATATATTAGTGCAACGTAAACATTTTCTTATTTATCGTTACTAGTTTTCCTAATGATAACAATATAAAGAAACATTACAAAAATACTATCAAATTTCAGTTATTTCAAGTAAACAGTGTTTTAAAGAAAATATCGCGGACAAAAATTTATAATTGACCTACTATACCTACATATAATACTTGTTATAAATATTGACAAATGAGAATTTCAGAAGAAGTCCCTGGAAATAATCCCATCTATGTAATAGGAAATTACACGTAACGAGGAAATCGCGTACCGATTACCGATTATTTTCTAAAAACCAGAATCAGAGGAAAATTTATTTTTTTATTAAGAAATTTAATTAGAACACGCAGTTACACTTGTCAGATACATACATAATTCCAAAAGCATAGAATACATACATATACACTAGAGTGCAATAAATATATGTTCAAAATGCACGTGTCCGTCTACAACACATAATAATTCTACATACGAAAAGACAGAGATTCTGAAGAACGAGACTGAAAGTAGAACTTCATAAAGACCAAGTCACGTCGAGATCACTTTACAGGCAATCTTCTCGAAAATTTATCCACGGTTCTATTATTAATGAAAACAAAATAATGTTTCCGTTTAAATTTAGCTCGCCAGAGACCAACTGCCAGATCAATAAAACAAGAGTCTGCTCCCCCGAAAAACTATATTACGAAATATCCCATTCGATATTATTATATTCTTCTTTACTTCCCAAGTCTCTTTTACGCATAGATCATACAACACATTGTTACCAACAATTGACTGATTATAACTGAATTGTATACCGAAGGGTTATATATCTGTATATCACTAAATAAAGGAATAAATATTCACCCATACGAAGCCACAAGAGAACATCTTCACACGGAATAATTCTAGCTCGAATATAACACGTTTCACATCGAGCGATAGAGAGAGAGAAAAAACGAACATGTGAGAGATGTAGGAAAATACGCGACGAGTTCTCTAGTGTAGGTTACGTAAGAACGAGGACGGTCCTCGAAATAGTGCTTTTAATATATTTATTTATACTCACGAGAAAGTTCGTGGGTTCGCGCGGTTTCCCCGAACACACAAACCGTCCACCGGTTTTCTAGCATCGCGTAATATTACGTACGAAATCATTCCAGCTTCTTGGTAGGCGCGACGGTGTCGTGTCGCGGCGACGTATCAATTAAAATTAAATTTCTGACTCACAATGTCCGTTTGAAATTCTGCACCGTGCGCCGGCGCTCCTCTCCGAGTTTGCCAAAACACGGTGACCTTGCTTGCCATTACCCCTCTCGCCTTGCTCGGTCGCGTGAGGTTATGAATGGTAGGCTAACCCGTCGTGTAAGGCAATGGCCGGTATGCATTAGGTCGTATAACACATGGAAATGTCCGTTTTGAACGCTTTCGATTCTTCAACTGAATTCTACCGAGAAATGTACGGTTTACCTGGTGGTTATAGTTTACATAAACTTTAATGCAGGGACTTAAACCGGTATTATGCCATCGAAGCTATACCGAAACCGATATATTACCGAAAACCGAAATAAATACCGGTATTTTTTCAGTTTACCGGTATTATACCGGTATTTTACGTTTCGGTAGAAGTCCCTGCTTTAATGTCGATCTAGGGTAGACGTCCCAATTATTGCCACCTATTAAGATTGTGGCGTAACTTCGTTCAATTATTT